AATGGAGGCTAGTGATCGTACTATCGTACTTTGAACAAGAAAACTATCGCCTCCGTGTACTCCCTGCCAAATATCACTGAAATTCTAGACCTACTCGGAAGCAGGAAATATTTTTCCACCCTCGACTTACAATCCAAATTTTATCAGGTACCGAAAGACCCTTCTGACGTACACAAAACTGCTTTCTCCATTCCCTTCCATCATTTACAGCTCAAGTGGATACCAATGGGCCTCAAGAATTCACCTTCAACATTCCAAGCCTTAAACCGTTTCGGGCCAAACGGACGAAATTTCCCACATTTTTTCCGGTGCTATAAACTTTGTTAAAAAAAATATCTGGAAAATGTTTAAGGGGGGAAAGGTACCTAAAATCTCAAAAAAAAAAAATTTTGTTTTATTGACTTTTTTAATAGGAGTTTTCCTCAGCTTTCCAGTGCCGTGATCGGAATTTAAAAATTTTAACTGTACCGTGATGTACAGCCTATTCAGTACCGATACTTTTACGATTATTTAAAAATATATCGTTGCCATTCTCTCATGAATCTCGAGACTTTCATGAGTCGGTAGCGCCGTCTATTGATACTCATTTTATTCTTTGGTTAGAGTACATCTAGCAGAAATTTGTTTGTTTACATGGCTATAGGTGTACAGTAACGCCACCACTCGCAGCACGTGGGTTTCGGCATATCTTCTGTCTCTCTCTGTTTCGTGCGCGAGCCCTGATCAAATGTCAATAACAGTCTGCTGACTGCATCTTGATTTTCCAATGGCTAAAAATTACATTTTTTTGAAAGTGAAAAAAGTACATGTACAGTGAAGTTATATCTTTGCAACTTGACATAGTGATTTATAATAAAGCTATGAAGATGCTTCAATAGCTTGTTATAAAAATGTTACATTTTTAGCAGTTCAAATTCAAGAAATACAGCAGTACATATGTAAATTGACATATATACATCAGTGTACATGTATGTCACTGTACTTTATGTATGTGTATATAACTGTATCATGTATATTATTGTATGTTGCATGTGATAACCAAGATTAGTGATAATTGATCAATTTTGAGTGATTTTATTTCCAACTATAGATCCAATGATTGTTGTTTTATGAATGTGAGTGAATATAGGTAGAGGGCTGAGTTCAAGTTCTAATGTGAGATTGTGTATATTAGTGTGAAAAGTTGATTTGGACATAATCAACTTAGTTACCAGTTTCCACATAAAACCCATATTAGCGTATGCTAACATTTTAGTAAAACTTATAATTTGGCTTTGTGTGTCTGTCTGGGATTATTGAACATTGTCCTTGTGGGTCTAATATGTTGAAATTTCAAGTTGAATTACTGTTTTTTATTGTCCAAAAAGTTTAAAGCAGCCTCAGTGACATGAGAGTATCATTATGACATATATTGATGTATTTTGGTTTTTTTCAACTCTTGGGCAGGAACGTTTTATCTCAAAATTGCTTTGTTGCCGTAACTTTCCATGTAAACCGTTTGAGCAAATGAGCTGAAATTTTCAGGGATTGTTCTACATGAGAATGGCTACAAACGCAAGCACTTTCAAAGGTATTGGGACAAATGAGCACTTTTTTCAGGCTATGATGTAGCATAATCTGTCATTTTATCATATATATTAATGAATAAATGTATATATGTGGCTGGCAAATTGTGTATAACTAATTAAAAAATCTGAAAGTGCTTGCGTTTGTAACCACACATCTAATGATCAAAATGAGACCCCAAGGACCATGATTGAACCATCGGTTCTAGCTGGATCCTACGGCACAGGGGTACCTGTCAGGACTGTGGGCTTGCTTCATCGAGGAGGGTTCTATGGTGACTGGGACCTCAATTTTTATATTCCAGAGTGAAAAACTTTGAAAAAAGAGTGAAGAAAACAGAGTTTTCTCTGTATATTCCCAAAAAAAATTTTTTCTTCATTTTTAATAAATTTTTTATAAATGTAGGTTTAAGGTACCTTACCCCCTTAAATAGTCATTTCTGACGTGAAATTTTATGAACTTTTCGAATCTGGTGTCAGAATTGTCAAAAAAGTTGAGGAGAAAAAGTTATGAACAATTAAACAACAAAAAACACGATTTTTTTGAAAATAATTTTGATTCAACCTCAATTTTCAAATCAAACGAGACTTGATCCGTGGTTCTAACATATATTTAGTTCTAACATATATTTATGGGGTGTAAACATAAAAGTCCAATAGTCACAATATCGAAATTCAACATGGTGAACAACAAAATGGCACCTCGTAAAAAAAATCCATGTATAAACTTGGTTAATTTTTTTTAAGCTAACCAAGCATCTAAGAAAAAAACTTTACGTAGAAAAAGTTCTTCGAATTGTTCAAAAAAGACCCCTGAATTTTGTCAGAATTTTCCGGGGAAATTTTTGGATTTTTGAAAATCGTCAGAAATCAAAAATACCAAAAATTGCCCGCAATGCCTAAAATTTTTTAGGCAAAACCCGCAATGCCTGAACAATTTTAGGTAAATGTTTACTGTAAAGTTTTACTGTGAGCTAATAATTTTAAGTAAAAAATTAATGTAAAGTGAAAAAATACGCATTTATTTGAATACAAAAGTTTTGTATTCAAATAAATAATGCATTCAGAACTACAAATTTCGTAAAATGGTCCTGGTATACCATTATCCACTCAAACTCATCGACACTTGATGATTGAAAGTCAATTAAGTCCACCTGGCATCTACTATTCATTTCTGAATGCAAAATTGGTTTGGATACCAGCCCCCTCCTTCTCTTTATTTTTTTCTGGTGACAGACTTAACACATTTTCAAGTATAACTCAATCAATTCCCTTGTAACTTTGTTATTGTTATTCTTAAAAAACCGAGTCTAAATTCATACCACGATTCGACGGCAAAGATTCTAGAGAAGAGTAACAGGCAAAGCTAATATTTTCACATACCCTGCTCCCCGTTCCTTCACGAATTTACAACGCTATAACAAAAGAAGGTTTCAAATTAAAATTATCAAAATGTCTTTTCGTAACAGACACAGTGGATTACTTGGGTCACGTAATAAGCCATAATACAGAAAAACCTATGACAGACATTTTAAAATCAATAATGGACTTCCCAACACCATCAACACAAAAAATTTTCGCCAATTCTTAGGTAAAATTAAATTTTATCGTGAATATGTGCCGAGAATTGCAACTATTTTAGAACCATTACATAAACTACTAAGGAAAGACCAAAAATTTACATGATCACAAGATGCCGAAGAGTCCTTCATTTAAAAAAGTATTCATGTAAAGCGCCGATTTTAACTATCTATGATCCAAACTTGGCAATCAAAATTTATACTGATGGAAGTATTGTAGGATTAAGAGCAGTGTTAAAACAATCTCAATCAGACGGAAACGAAAAACCGGTAGCATATTTCTCAAAAAAATTAACGAGTGCACAGAGTAAGAAGAGAGCAAAATACTTAGAAGCATCAGCTATTAAAGAGGCTATTACTTTTTGGCAATACTAGTTGATGGGCAGATCTTTTGAAGTATATTCGGATCACAAACCTTTGAAGGACTTAAACATGAAAGCCAGACTAGACGAAGAATTGGGTGATTTAACTTATTATATGTCTCAATTAGATTTTAATGTGATATATAACCCAGGAAAGTTCGATATAGAAGAGGATTGTTTAAGCAGAAATCCAGTATTGGAAGCTAGTGAAAACGAAGAGAATGTGCTGAAAACGGTAAATATAATAAGTCTTGAAAGCATCAAAGAAGACCAAGACAAAAATGAAAAATTCAAAAAGCAACGTGCAATGAGCGAAATTTACATTTAAGAAAAGGTAAAATTATACTGTCTGAAGAATTCAGCAAGACACTAATAATAAAAGTACCTAAAGAGTTCAACCACATTGGAATAAACCAAATGACCAACATGACACAAAAACATTACACAACATTACATGAATATATGTATATTCATACGAACCACATGTCATTTTTCTATATTAAACTACTATTGTAGATGGCGTGACGAGAATCCAGACAGGATATCGTCTCTCTCCCCCAAAGCCAATATTCGAATATGTTATACTCATTATGAGATTTGTTACAGGTGCAAAAGCGCGACCACGGCAGATCGCACGAGAGAGAAAGAGACATAAATTCACGTTCGCGGAAAAGACTGCGCGAACCTCGCGAGCGCGTCACGAAGATTTACGCGTACGAACAGAGGAGCTACACAGTAGTACAGTCTGGGCCCGATTTCGAGCGACACGCGCAAGTCGAAATCAACGAGCATTGTAAGCCCGCTGTAAATCGCGTCGCGAGTTTGAGTGATGGCAATGCGTGCATTTTTGAGTGCATTGTGAGCGAGTGTGTGAGCGACCCGGAATCCAGCGTCGTGGATTGGGCAGCGGAAATCACAACCGGAGGCAGCTATTGTAAGTGCCAGCTTACCGACTTTCTCTCTCTCATTTGCATTGCGACTCGCATTCGCTGGTTTAGGCGAACACTCGCGCGCCGTGGTACTGCACCAAATTGCCGTTCTGAGCACGGCTGTAATTCCCTGATTTACTCGTTTATCAATAATAATTATTTTTCCTTTAATCTAATTCTTATGCGTCGATTGTTTTCCTGTGTACTCTCCACTCTTATTACTTTTTAACCAACCGGACCCGGCCGTTAACGCGACCAACGCAGTAATTGTTATTTTATGTAATAATACTAATTACCCCCTTCACTCGTAACTTCCCCCGTTACAATGGTTATTTTTATTTAGTTTGTAAGTGCCACCTACGTGGGGCTCATGCCCCCTGTAGGACTTATTGGTAATAAATAATAATAATAATAATAATAATAATAATAATAATAACTCTTTGGCTGTTTGTGCTAACACCCAAGGCCTGAACAATAATCTTTTAAAACAACAAACAATTATAACATATAATAACGTATATCATAAGTTATAAATAAAAAGATATTTTGGAAAAAGATACTTACTTTTACTCGATCAGAAACTGTATTGAATAAGCTGCACCTTCTCAAAGAATTCAGTACTGGATCATTCCAATCATCGATAATATTATGAGTCGTGATCGGTGGGAGACCATTTCGTTGAAGTGCATAGAGACACCTTAAAAAAATAATATTACAAAAATTAAACTCTTCTCACAGGAGTAAATTGCACTTAATTTTAAATATAATTTTGTATCATTTATTCATAAGGTAAAAGAAATTTATGAGCACTAACTTCCAAATGACGTAATAATAGCTTGCGTACTATCTGAATGGAATTTGACAGATCAGAACTGACTTTGGATCGATTTGATCCCAGTCCAAGTCATAACACTCTCAAATAAGTATATTTTCTTACTCATAAGACGAAGAGCGCTGGGATGTCGAAGTGAAAGGTATGCAGTTTCCAACTTATTCCATTGTAATATTTTATTTTTATTAATAATATATACATATGTGGCATTTCACGTCAACTCTCCCAGTGCAGCGCGGAGCGGCAGAATCAAGTCAAATCACTAAATTTGTAAATCGCTGTAAAAGTGCTAAAATGCACCTAGAGAAAAAAACGAACAGCTGATTTCGAGTGGAAATTGCCTCGGCTTTCTGATGGGGAGGTCAGATTTTCCGAAATTTTCCGCTTTACCCGGGAAAATTGCTGGGAAAACTTTAAAGTCGATTATCTCAAAAACTTCATTTTTAAGATTTTTTAAATAGTCTACATCGAAAGATCAGGAAATTTTTCATCGATATAGACATTTTTCAGAGAGGCGTTTTTTGATTTTAGCGAGATATAGAGAGAGAAAGAAGAAAAAACGTGGTATTTTCGCGTCCGACTGCCCGCGCGCGCCTTTTATCCTGGCTTAAAAATTCAATATCAAGCAATTTCAAAGTTAGTCCTCGCAGTTTAGTCGTTAAGAACGACAAAATGTCGGTACCTAAATCCGTGGATTACAGAAGCCACGTATGCATGACTTTTTACCGTTGAATATCTACTTAGCTATTTATTCTGCTCGAAGTGACCGAGTCTTATTGGTCCGCAAGGGATCCCAACTTGTACGCTGCATTGTTCTCGGCCGCCTCCGCGTGTAACCGTTCGATGCGTCGTTACATAATTTCACCTATATCGTGGTTCCTCGCGCATGCATGTGCGTGACTTGGGCGTGTCATCTGCGTGTGACAGACTATTGGGATCACGTATGTCAGGTCATAGATCTGGTGGCCTAATTATAGGCGCTTCTTTTGAAGACTTATCACGCGGCAGTTGTGTTATAACATTTGCAACAAGGAAATAAGCGCATTAGATGATGGTCGATAAAAAGTAAATATTCTATGAAAAAAGAAAGAATCGAATGTCAGAAACTATGGTCCGGAAAAATTAAAATTAAAATAGAAGAAAGTAAGTTTTTCAGTTTTTCTAATATTCTCCATTTTACTCACTCGAAATGATGTGTTTTTGAAATAATGAACCATATTTCCAGATTGGCTATCTACCGGAATGAAAGGAACCAATAAAAACTGATGAAAAAAAAATCGGTACAGTATTTAAGTTTAGCACCCACAAAAACTAATAAAGAAAAATAAAACTGACGCAAATACAAGATTTTATATTTATCGGCTTCGCCTCGGATGATAAATTACTATTATAAAATACTATTAATTGTTCAGTGAGGTACGATGAAATCGAACATAGTTTAATGTATCAATCTAGTTCAATCAAATTTAATGGTTGATTTTGAAATACTATTGTCAAATTTAAATTTTAACACTAGCTCGCGCATTTAATAGTCATTTATTTAGTTCATTTATAAAAACTAAGAATAGAAAATAAATGTTTATCTTATATACCTTTTAATTTTTAAAGAATCCTCTTTCAGGCACAAATTTTCATTTTCTGGCATATGCCCCGCTAAACAGGACTCATACATTCTCTTACCAATACTTTGTTGAATATCTTGAATTGTTGAACGAAGTGATTTGACAACCTAAAATAATAATTTAAAAAAATATCATTTTTAGATCTTTTAAATAAGAGGAATTATTATTAGTTACGTAAAGTAAACCTTAAAATCGTAAAAGTAGCCTAAAACTTTCTTAAATTCTTTCACTTTCTTAAATTCTTAAATTTTCAATTAACGAATAGCGAGACGGAGGTCATGGCGTCTGGAGGCTCGTCACCTCCCGCGACCGAGGGTGGTGTTTCTCCTGCCGATTTGGAGAGGTTCAAGGACGAGATGATGTCGCGCTTAGAGACCTTTTTGGCGAGTTATCGCGCTCAGACGAGCAGCGATGGGGGCACGCTTCCGCGCTCGATGGGGTTACGGCTCCGGGCGGTGCGCCGCGTGGACCCCAGCGTACCGAGATTGTATTTCAATCGTTTCGGCGGAGCGTTCCAGCTCTGTGGTTTTCGATTCTCGAGGAGCGATTCACGCAGAGAAATATTGCGGACGACAGTGAGATGTATTACAATGCCATGTGTTACCTCGACGAGGATCTGGTCAGAATGGTGTCGGTCGCGGTTACGTCGGCACCTATCTGCCGGCGATATTGCAAATTGAAAAATACGGTAGTCGATAAACTTTCTCTCAGTAAATCTGAGAATTTTAAAAATATTTTGGGAAATATAAATATAGGTACACGATCACTTTCGGAGTATTTGGAATTTTTAGTGTCTGAATCGGGAAGTATTTTGAGTAGAGACGCAGTCTTACGCATTTGGCGAGAGACGTTGCAGGCGAACGTCGCTGTGCTGTTGGATCGGGATATAAATAGTGCTAACGAGGCGCAAAACATCCAAAGAGCTGATTACATTTATAAGTCGTACAAGCGTGATAGTAATGCCGGTAATTCTTTTGAGATCGATAGTATCGGGGGTGCCCAGCGTTGAGACGAGCCTTGGTATATGGACGTATTGGAGAGGAAATTGGATCAGGTACTAAATGCTTTTGAATCGCGCTTTGATGGTCACGGACGCGACTCGGGCGCGAATGTCGATCGACGCCGCGGCTCGGGCGGACATCGGTGTGTTGGACACGGTAGGCTGTGTCGTGAGCACTATAGATTCAAAAAGTCAGCGCGCGGGTGTTCGAGCCCGGATCAATGCTCGTGGAAGAATTTTGACGACGAAGAGACAGAGAATGGGCAGGGTGGTCGCAGGCACAAAAATGATAATAATAGTAATAATAAGAGAGATAACCCCGATAAGCCGTCATCGTCAAAAAACTCGAAACCGGCGTAGCGTCGGAGACCGCTGCGTCAGGAGGTTCAGTCCGTCTCCACATACAGGACTTGAAATCGGGTTTAATTTTCATGATCGACTCTGGTGCAGAGGTCTTGGCTATCCCACGACCGATTAATAGGGTTGCGAGACCGGTTAATTTCGTCATTACAGCAGCGAATCAGCTGCCAATGAATGTTTTTGGTATGAAAGAATTAGAAATTGAGTTTATTAAAGGCAAGCCGATTAAATGGTTAAAGTTTGTTGTCGCGGATGTTCCTCATCCATTGGTGGGAGGCGATATTTTGTCTCGCTTTCACCTGCTGCCCGATTTGACTTCTAAGCGTCTAGTTCACGCTTCGGGCGAGGTGTTTGGCGAGGTGTTTGGCGAGGGGTTTTTTATCCGCGTCAACAGCGCTGATTTGACTATCTGCAGTACGTCAATCAGTTACAATACGAAGTTTTCTCATATTTTTATAAAATATCCCGAGGTTATGGGATTGGCTCCTTCGAAGCCTTTAGCGAATAGTGATGTTTTTCACTATATCGAAACGGAAGGCAAGCCACTTGCTCAAAAAGCGCTTAGGCTGCCTCCGCATAAGTTGTTGGCGGCCCGAGAAGAATTCTCTCGTTTCGAAAAGGCCGGCCAAATCAAACCTTCAAAAAGCCCCTGGGCTTCACCTATCCATATGGTGAGTAAGAAGGACAGGACACGGTGCATCTGTGGCGATTACAGGCGTCTCAATGCAGTTACAAAGTTCGATTCTTACCCAATTCCGAGACTGTTTGACTTCACAGTGATGCTCGCGGGTAAAACAGTGTTTTCTACGCTGGATCTCAAAAAAGCTTTTAACCAAATACCGTTAAATGCGGACGACGCACCAACAATGGCGGTGATTACGCCGTTCGGTCTCTCTGAGTATACGGTCATGACTTTCGGCTTGCGTAATTCAGCGCAGTCGTTCCAGAGATACATAGACTCGGCTCTGAGAGGCCTTGACTTCGTGTTTGTTTACCTCGATGATATATTGGTGTCATCGTCCAACATGCAGGAGCACGAGTTTCATCTCGGTATATTGCTCGAAAGGCTTCAGCAGGTATCTTTACAGCTGAATTATGGTAAATGTGTATTTGGAGAAGAGAAAGTGGAGTTCTTAGGTTATCTTGTCTCATCCGAGGGTTACAAGCCTTTGTCGAGAAAGGTCGAGTCGATTGTCAAGTTTCCACGACCCAATACAATTGAGGAATTAAGTAGGTTTCTAGGTATTATTAATTTTTATAGAAATAGCGTACCGCACGCGGCGGAGATGCAAGCTCAGTTAAACAAATTTTTATCCGACTCGCGAAAAAATGATAAGAGACCCGTTGATTGGGACGACGGGGCCACTACGGCATTTGAGAAGTGTAAACAGAGTCTTGTCGACGTCGCATTGCTGGATTTTCCGCGGCCCGATGCTCCGATTAGAGTAGTAATGGACGCCTCGGACACAGCTATGGGAGGTGCTCTCGAGCAGCGAGTCGAGGAGACTTAGAGGCCTCTTGCGTTCTTTTCGCGTAAATTTAATTCGGCACAGACGCGTTATTCGACTTCCGATCGCGAACTCACTGCGATGGCGGAGTCTGTTAAATATTTCGATTATTATCTCGAGGATCGGAGGTTCAAGCTGGTAACGGATCACAAGCCGCTCATTTACGCGCAAAATCAGTCTCACGATAAAGCTCCACTGCGTCGTTTGCGCCAGCTCATATACTTGGCACAATTCGAAATGAGTTATGAGTATTTACCGGGAAAATCTAACGATGTCGCAGACGCTTTGTCGCGAATCGAATCGCCGCTGATCGAACCCGGGAACGATCCGGCAAGTGGTGATTTTCTCCTTAGCATAGATAGTATTATTATACCCCCACGCATTGACTTACCAGACATTTTGTCTGCGCAAGACGAAGATTCCGAGCTTTCCAATATATTGAAAGACTCGAGTCACAAACTTAAATTAAAAATCATTGCCTTGGGCCTCGAGAATCTGAAAATTTATTGTGAGTCGCGAGAGGGCGTAAATAGGCCGTACTTGCCCGCGTCTTTGAGAAGAGAGAGCTTTGCCCTGTATCACGGTGACGCGCATCCGAGCGCGAGAGCCATGAAGCTTCGCGTCAAGGAGCATTTTGTCTGGCCGAACATAGACAGAGACATCGCGCGCTGGTGTAAATCTTGTATGAATTGTCAATTGGCTAAGGTCGGTTGACATACGTCGCCGACACCGTTACGCTTTGACACCCCGGACGCGCGATTTTATCACGTACATATAGATATCGTAGGGCCGTTACCGGTGAGCGATGGATACCGTTATCTTTTCACCATGATTGACAGATATACGAGGTGGCCCGAGGCCGTACCCATGCGCGATATCAGGGCCGAGACTGTGGCGAGCGAGTTCCGCAGGTGCTGGATAGCACGTTTCGGTTCTCCAATTGTGATCACGACGGATCAGGGAAGGCAATTCGAGTCGGCGGTATTCTCGGAGCTTTTACGAGCCCTTGGCATAAAGCGTTGTCGCACTACTAGCTACCATCCGTACGGGAACCGCATGATCGAACGATGGCATAGATCCCTTAAAGCGGCTATTATGTGCCACGCCAAGTCCAAGACGTGGACAGAGCTGCTGCCGTCAGTGATGCTCGGCCTGAGAACGCGAATTTTAAGCTCGTGCGATGCAAGACCGGCCGATATGCTTTACAGAAGCCCGTTGCAAATTCCCGGTGATCTCTGCGTAAATACGGAAGCAGAGATCGACCCGAGGGTTTTTCTAAATAAATTCAGAGCTCACATGAGTCAGGTACGTCCGGTCCCGGTTACGCACAAAACAAAGCGAAACGCGTTCGTTACCGCGGACTTGAAAACGTGCTCGCACGTACTCAAAGTCGTAAAGAAAGTCAGGTCTCCTCTCGTGCCTCCGTATACCGGCCCACATAAAGTTTTATTGCGCGATCCCGCGTTCAACACCTTCAAAATTGACATCAATAGTCGCGAGGTTGTGGTGTCAGTCGACAAACTTAAGCCCGCGCATTTCGTGCCGAGCGTAAACGCTGTGCTGCCGCGTGGGGAGAAATTGGTCCCGCACATATTGCGTAAGAGTCGTGCGAAGAAGTGCGAGCCTGGCAATGTCTGATTGACGTCCAAAAGAAACGCGAATTCCGTAGGACCGACGTTGGTACTCGCTATTTTTGTATGCCAACGCGTAATTCTTTGTCACGTGGTTGAGTTTGCTCACTAGCAATTTGTTTCTGTTTGTTGTATAGGGACGATGGATACATACGCGGCACTATACGGTGCGCTGCGCACTCAGAGAGAGCTGGCGCAGGACCCGGTGTGGGCGAGCGATCTTTGTAACACCGAGATCTGCTTGAACGAGTTTCGGTCGGAGGTCGCGAGAATTACCACGATGGCGGTGAATAGTAGGAACAGGAGTCGTATGCGTAACGGCATCAACGTGCCGGCGACATCGGTGAATTTTCGTTTTCCATCGCTGTTCCACAACGGTAATCCAGTGAGGGTCCTTAAGCTCTACGGAGTGCACGGACTATTGAGGCGAGAGCAGCTTGAGCGCATGATCGCCAACTTGGGCATTCGCGATTGAAACATATCGGGCATTAGATCTTCGGCGCATTTGACTACGGCTAAGCTTACTTGTTTGTCGCTGGCCTCCTCGTGTAGGCTACAACTCGCCGCTGCGTTAAAACGCATCATTTGAACGTGGTACTCGCGTACCCTTGAAGAGAGCGAAAAGTTCGCTGCAGTACGGCCAATACTGAGTCATGCAGCGCAACCTACACCGATTTCGTGAGCCTGAGAGCCGCGGCAGTCGGACCTGAGCTCTCTATTGTTTCGAGTCATGGAAAGGATCGATGTACTCGAGTACATCAGCGGTGAGCTTTCGTACGGAGATTTGTGTAATATATGGCTTATTTGCCGCAACAGGAATCTCGTGCGGTTGATGATGAAAAGAAAGGTCGACGCTGCTTGGCCCGGTTTCGTGGGGCAAAACGCTACGCACATGATTAAGGAGTACATTTCGCGATTTCGTCCAAGAGAAATCAGATTTTCCAATCGGGGCATCGTTCGCGACGCAACCACGGCATGTTCGGTGCTCGACCACAGCCCTGGGGGTCTTACGGTGACGTTTCACACGCTCTACGTGTCGGGTATTAGGATAAATGCTCAGCTCATCGAGCTTATCCTGAACATGTATTCTGTTGTAAGACTGGTCATCGCTGAGTCTTGCGGCGTTTTGAGCGTAGCCTTTTCTAGGGTGAGGGCGAGACAGCTGCTCGTTACCGGAAACAAATATCTCCAAGGAGATTTCCTCCAGAATTTGAAAAACCGTTTGGAGATTTTATCATTGACCGAATGTGGTCAGATTGCGTATCAACCTGTGCTTGTTTTTGTGTATAATCTTATTTTTAGGGATTTGAGCTTGTGTGACTGTGATTTTCTGTCAAATGACCAGTGTGACGTGTACGTGTTGCTGCTTGAAGCGGTAATTAATGAAAACTCCTACGTGGAGAAATTGACGATATCGTTCAGCGAACAGACGGGGCACGACACACCCGACGGGCGTCTAATCGATTTATCAAATAGTCTCACCATCAGAGAATGTAATATTAGTAATAATTTGTACATGGCACTGTTTATTCCGCAAATTGTGTCCAATATTAATAACGTTAAAGTTTTAAACCTGTCGGGCGTGTCGTGCTTTGACTACATTGACATGTCGGAGTTGTGGTGCATCGAGTCGCTCCACATTTGTTACACTGAATATCTAATGTACTCCTTGTCGTAGCTAAACGCGCAAATCATAAAATATATTGAAGTTGTTAACAAGCTAGGTAAGAAAAAAACAAAAAAGTTGGATTTAGGTTACATCGAGCAACTCATTTGTGTAGATAAAATATTCACTTTTAAATTTGTAAAATGTAAAACTATGATACCAGCTTCGCTGGAAAGAAAAATTAAAGACAGAAATTTTAAATTCTTAAACGAAATGGATTGCTTGACTTCATCAAATTAGCACTTTATTTATAGAGATAAGTGAATCTTTATAAAAGCGTAACCGAGCTTAAGTGAAATGTACACCTAATATCTTTGGTATAATAATTGCATTCATAAGTGCGTTTATAAATAAGTTTGATTATATTCCAGGTGTTCTCGGATGTTATTCGGATATTCAATCCGTATGAAATAATTAGAATTATTTTTTATTGTGAAACTGTATAACTGCATAATCTTAAGTGCGTTGGCCAAACATTCCTTTTTTCTTTTTTGTATGTATTGCACACGTAATTATAGAGTCAAAGTTAATTTAAATTTTACGAATGTAAAAGAAATTGGACATGTAACGGCGCATGCGTACATATTAATGTATATTTTTTTTGTTTGTTTAAAAACAATAACTACGTGAGTGCATGAATTTATTTTTGTTTAAAAGCAATAACTGCGGGAAGCATATGTGTATATATTGTTGTTTTTTTTGTAAGAAGTATATCTAACTTCAGTAACAGATAAGCTGTTCACTTGGTTCCAAGCAGTAATATGGTATGTTATATACGCGTATGCGGAAACATTGTCTTAAGTGCGTTCGCACATTTTGTTTTGTTGGTCCGTCATGTTTCCTCGCTACCCTCGCAAACATTGGGGGGGGCTATGTGGCGATACGNGGGGGGGGGGGGGGGGGCTATGTGGCGATAGGCACCGTTATAGACGCGTCAGAGGACGCTATACGTACATACTTGTGTAAGCGCCGACGGCGCCTTCGCGCAACGACGATAGCTTAAGCACGACCAGATCAATTCGAGCGAGCACAGAGATCGGCCGCTTTACCGGCGCTCCGATCCACACAATAAAACTCATTGTTTCACTACCTAATCATACTAGTCTGCCTTTATTCAACACGCCTCCTTCCATCCGACTACATCGTCCTCTAGGCCGCGAGTAAGTCGGCAGGCACTCAAGGCCTATAAGCTTAAGGGGTAACAGGGGGCTTAAAATCGAAAAAAATTTTGTTTCATTTTTGAGTAGGATTTTTTGTCCCCTTTGTAGTGGTGACGGTGGTAGCACAGAGTAGGCGCTTCCTATATACGGGTTACTTATACAATTGTACGTAGTCGTAGTCGTAGTCGTATTTATTTTATTTTCTGCGTGCAGTTATATCAAATAAACTATTATTAATGATAATATTCAAGCATGCTCATTCGCAGGGTTGCATTGGTTGATATACAAAAGTGTTCAATAACAAAGGAAACAACCAAGCAGAAGGATGTTAAAAGCATATGTTCAACCGTCGGTCATAAAACTTCCATTTTCACCAACGTTTGAGAGTTCATAAGTTACAGTACTATAAGATACCATTTTGATTACTTTCCATAATGTTAAATGAAATTTTCTAGAATGTAATTGATACCGTTTTAATAAAAAATTACTTACTGCATGTCCACGTAAGGACTCAACATTGAAATTATTGGTTTTTGCAGGAAAAATTAGGAATGCAACTACTGTCACATCAAGCTTAGATGATTTGAGATAATGATTAAGTCGAGCCAATGCTTCAATAAATATGTCTGCTCCTTTGTTTCCAAACTCGTATCGGCCAGCAATAAAAAAATATAATGTCTTATCAAGATTAAAATCAAAATGCCTGAAAAATAATAAAGTAATGAAATGAAAAAATTATATTAAATTTTATTAAAGAAAATTTAGTTATAAAATTGTAAATCAGTGCATAGTCAGAGTGGAAAGATTTATTAAAAAGCAATCAACTACTTATTAATATTTTTCTTATGAAAATATTTTACGTCACGATTTCTAACAGACTTTTGTTGTTGTTGATATGTGCAGTTTTTGACCACCAAACGGACTGTACCATTACCACTCCGTCAATGACTGATGAGTTGACGTGAGCGTAAGCCACAGCCAGTGGTAATATCACTGCGAAAGTCTCGTGCATCTCCTTAAGTCTCGTGCATCGCACTCGCATACGCTCGTGCGCTAACCTCACTTCGCGCTACCAGAAGTGCGAATCATGGCTCGGAAAAGGTGGCATAAATGTGAACTTGGCACAGTGCTATAAAATGTTGTTCGATACTCGGGCCATAGGGGACACTTTTCGGCCCAGCTATTAGGACCCTAGCTGCGCTCAAGCCCTAAACTACGCCGTGACAAAAAGTGTTACTTGTGGCCCTTGTATCGGAAACTACTATTTTTTATTATTTTCGTGAAAAATACTACTATGTGAAAACTCAAGTCTCTCGTAAAAATTATGTTTAAACGTTTATTCGAAACTTTAGGTATAAAATGTATCTAGTTACTAGAATTCGAAATGGAACCCAAAAAAATGTACTATATAAAAGCACTACAAGTGGAAGTGGAACTTCAGAGTCCTTTTCCTCGTTGAATTTTCTTTCTTGGATTATATTTAACTTTTCTTTATTTTAAATGTGTTTGAGAATTACACAAATAATATAATAATTGATGGGATGGACGCATGGGTAGGTCTCACATAAAAACTCTGCATAGGTGACATTAATTTTGATTTTCACTATTTTCTTTATTATCACTTAAATCACTCTTACAGTTCAAAGAAATGCACCTCTGCAACTTTTGTATGTGGAACATGTGCCGGAACGAACTCTACCAAAGATTGTAATAATGAAGAAAATATAAAGTGTTGCAACTGTATTGCCGTATGTAATAAAACAATAGATACCAAACACAAGGTTGACGATAAAAACAGATGTGAAACATATTTGGAGATTCTTAGGAATAATATCAAGAAAATTGACTATCTGAGGATAGTCAAAAAGCCTACTGGAGAACCCATATTTTTCTACCTGCAAACGTGATCTATACCAAGGGATTTCCCATAAGTACAAACCTGTTTAAAGTAAAATTACTGTTTTTTTGTTACTGTTTGATATTTTTCATGAGTATGAATACATATTTGAAGCTGCATCTTCTCAAAGAAAAGTTATTTTAGAAAATCAATATCACCTGATACATTTGGAAAAATTTTTGAGTCAAGAAACCTTGGAAGAATTTAAAAGTGCTGTGAGCAATAAAAACTCAAATTTGCACCTGAGCAATAATTCTAACAAAGTTTATTCGAATATTGGCTACACCTGTCAGGTATTGATAACAGCAGTCAAGATGGACAGTTTGATGAAATGTATACGTTGGATCATGACAATATAACAAATGGTTAGATTGTTTTTATTTATATTATGTGACTTGTGAAATTTATAATTTTAATAACAAGTGTATCTGTGTATTTAAAAAGTTTATTAATTTATGTGTTGTATATGTAGGTAATGACAGTAATCAGGATACACTGCAGTCAGATGCAATTCATACTGTTGATCATTCCACTCTTACAAATGGTTTGTTTGTTTTTATTTATATTATGTGACTAATGAAATTTATAAATTTTCATTTAATCAGTGCCGTTGTTTATTTTGAATGTTTATAAATTTGTATGTTATATAGGTGGATATAGTAATATTGATCAGATTATAAATGAAACGCCATTGGGTACAAGTGTGTCATCAAATAACATTTTAGAATTAGTAACGGCTGATATTGAACTTGATTCAAGTTTATCATACTAAACTTTGACTGCAAATACAGATATTAAAATTCTAAAGTTAGCAGTGCAAGGTAATTAATTAATTATTCAATGTTTTGCAAAGTTGATGTTGATAAGTCTGTCTTACAGTATTCCAAAAACATACCTTTGGCTTTTAGACTAAATATTATATGCTTATAGTACTTATTAAATAAGATTGTTTAGAGTTAAACAAATTTAACATATGATTTTTGGCTTCAACTTTAATTTACATCAGAAATACTATAACACTATTTAAGTTGCAGATGAAAATGATTTAATAGCGTTAAAGCTATTGGTCCTTTATGAAAATTTAATAGCGTTCAAGCTATTGCGACGCTGCAAATTGGCCTTATCAAATAAGGTCCAGCTCAAATGCCGTCGTCAAGAATTTTATTAGGTGGGACCTCTTGTACTCACGCTGATTTCTCCGAGGAGGTTCTGGGCCTTCCGCCGAGTTTGGGCCGAGCTGTTGGCCCCAGCGACTCACCTTTCGAATCGGCCGAGGAAATCTCAATTTGTCGCGAACTCCGCGAAAATCCTTGTAATTTTGCATAATTGCTCTACGCGCTGAAAAGAGGGAGTCTAGGAAATTTACAACAAAATAACGAATTAATAATGACTCGCGAGATTCAATTTCAAAAATCTAGTCACTTTATTTCACTTTTAACATTGGCCACCGGGTGCGCTGGTGGCGTTCTTGTTTGCCTTCCGTGGCCGAACCTTTGCTCCGCAGCAATAGGTTACGTCGTGACTCTCTTATTTTACTTGGCCAAAATGGCCGTCGCTACGTACGCGTGGTCGAACGAGCTCGGCCGACGCGCGCGTGCTTCGCTCGTCGACCTGTAGCCACGTGGCTAACTCCGCGAGACCGCGTCTACGCCGCGCCTTACACCTGCGTGTTATCCTAATTACGCAACACGGCAGTGTGCCGTCGATTCGCACACACACACTGAGCTTGCCGCCGCTGCGGTAACACTCACACGCACACACACAATCTCGATACACGCGCGAGCACGATGACGCAATCGTGCACACGGCCAAGCGACCGACCACCTAAATAATCTTAAAGCTAACCTCTTCGCCGGCTTTTCAGTAGATGATGCCCTGGCAAACTCCTTTGCTGTCGTGGCCTCCGTCGCCTGCACTCCGTGGCAAAATTCCTGTTTCTTGGCCTAGGTGGCTTTCGAGTACGTATCGGCACCGCGTGTCTCGAGGCAAAACTAGCCTCACTTTCTGGCGGTCGTCCCTGGCACTCACTCTGTGTTTCTCGCACGACACTCGTACTCCGACCAACCTTTACTTGTCGGCGAGTTCTTTAACACCGAACTGGCACTGTCGCGAACTACTGTTGTTATCGTAAAACAGCTAAAACACAGCGAAAAACAACTAACTTTTCCTTTGTTGGCTTCGCATGTGCACACACTTGCTTGGCTCGTGGTAATCTGCCTTGCGTGGCGTTGTCTGCGGCGTAGTAGATTGCGCAGTAGTCACGTGACTCGGCTACTGCTCTTGTGCGGCCTGCGTGCTTCTGCTCGGCCTAGGCTCGTAGAATCTCGAAGTGCGGCTTGTTGTCTTGGCGTCGGTGTTGCGTCCTCGGTCTGCTCTGCTCATCTTCTTCTTGGCCTGAAACCTAGGCTACGAGAAATATACGCGAAATCATTCACTCGTGCATTCTCGCGACGAAGAGATCTCGCGTGGTGCCGGTGTACGGGCTGCCCTCGGTCAGGCGCGACGTTTGAGCTCGCAGGCATGTGCTTCGTCACACTATATATCATTGGCAGCTGAAATATGAATAATAGCGTTCAAGCTATACATCATTAGCAGCTGAAATATGATTAATAGCGTTCAAGCTATACATCATTGGCAACTGAAATCCGAATAATAGCGTTCAAGCTATACATCATTGGCAACTGAAATATGAATAATAGCGTTCGAGCTATACATCATTGGCAACTGAAATCTGAATAATAGTGTTCAAGCTATACATCATTGATAGAAGAAAATCAATTAATAGCGTTCAAGCTATACATCATTGGCAGCAGGATGAATAGCATTCAAGTTATGAAAAACATTTATTATGTATTTGATTTTGTATGATTGTGTTCTATATAAAATTTTTTAAAATTTGATAAATTTTGAGTAGGAAATGGTAATATCAATGAAGTACTCAATGAGGACATTGAAGTATCCAGCAAGATAGCAATAGCTTCTACTCCAACTGATACTACTGCAATTAAGTTGATCATAACAGGTAAGAAGTTGAAAATAAAGTTTCTTGATGATGATAAGTAAACTTTTTTACAATAACACAAATTTTCAGAGTCTACTGAGATTGAAGGTGAAAATGAAATAGGATTGTCACCAGTCATAAACGATAATAACTTGGGGAATCAATCTAAAACTGAGTTGTCAGATTTAAGTCAACGTCAGATATCTCTAAACGCAGAGCAGGTAATGAAACCTGGTGATGATTTTGAGGCTTCATTGCCTGTACCATTTAAAAGAGCATTGGCGATACCACTAAAAATACCTAATAAAAGAATGAAAATTGAAATAAAGCATCACTCATTTTGACATCAGAAGATTTCGAAAGATTTCATAGAGAAAAAGAAGAAGAAGAACGAAGAAAGATTATGGAAAAAGATAATAGAAAAAAACCAGAGAAGAAAATAAAATAAAAAAAATTCAAGAAGAAAAAGCTGCTCGAGCACAGTAAAATGCTGGTGATGACAAAAAAAAAGCTATTGATGCGAAAATAAAGGAATTTATGGCATAAAAAAAGTCGTTAAAACTAAAAATTAAAACCGAAAAAAAATGTTTAGAGAAAAAAAATGAATGATTAATTTTTAATTCAACTTTTTTATTATATTGTTATCAATAAAAATTGACTAAATTTAAAAAATTCTTTTATTTCTAATTACATGTATCATTTCCTGATCTCAAATTGCCATCCGCCATCCTTTGTGATTATACAATTGAAATTTACTTGGTAAAATTATATGTACAATAAATTTTAATCTATCTATTGAGCATCA